TGTACCTTCATATATGATTTGAGTTTCCTTGTTGATGTGCTTTCATAAACAGAGCTATTTTTCCTATCATGTATATAATATGATTTTCCTTAGATTCCTGAAAGAGGAAGAGCTTTGAAATTTGTAGGCAATTCTTTTTTTGTCATTATACAAAATAACTATAAACTCATAAATTGATTCGCATTATGTTTGTCATGCAATCATGTTTTCCTAGTATTATTGTGCTTTATGAAATTTAAGCTGTTAGTTTTTCATGAGATATGATGGCTATAGGTGATAGATTGCAACTGATTTCTCTGTTATGACAGTTGATTTTCTCCAATTATTGTTGCAGTCAATGTTCGTTCTTCATTATCGGCTAAAGGTGATCCAAGTTTTTAAGTTAGACATCTCCAAACTGAAGCAGTGGATTTTTACTTTGGTTGGTCCTCTCCTTGTGTTATTTTGTTTATACTGTGACTTTATTGTTTAGATTAAATATCATTTCTATTTTGATCCGACTTTATATGTTTTTAGATGTTCTAATACCAAACGACCTTGGTTTGTTTTTCATTTTCTCTATATACATCTGATTGTTTTATTTTACTTTCTTGGTACTCAGTCTCATTATTTGTTACTTTTTGTACATAATCTATAAATCTGATATGAAATCTTTGTTTATATGTTATATGATTTCCCCATCCTTTTTTTTTGTTTTGTAGTTATGTTTTCTATGACAATCTGGTTGATGTTATTTCGATTTAGGGATTTGGGGTTTTATTTTTCTAGAGATGTTTGACTGTTTGGGACTTAGTTCTGCAGAAGCATAGTAGAGTTGTGAATACTTCAAAAAGGCCTGACTTGATGGATGGGTTTCTCTTGATTTCATAAAGTGCTTAATGGAGGATTTGTTAAAGATTGTTAAAGATATGAACATGCTCTGATCTGTGGGTTTTTTTTTCCTTTTCATACCCAACATTTATCATGAAGGACTGGATTCTTTTCTGTTTTATTTAAATCATTTTTTAGTTTAGACCCTGCTGTCATTCCTCTGACTAGGATTTGTTTATTGATTGTCAAAAGAGTCGCCAAAAAGAAAGAGCACCGAAAGTAATGTCGACCAAGATATGTGTAGTGATTCGATCTTTTCATCACCCAAACCTTTTGTGGGGGCTTCCACCTTCTACACGGAGGATTGCATTGCCTGAATCACGAGTCTTATATACTGTGTTGCGATCACCTCATATTGATAAAAAGTCCAGAGAGCAGTTTGAAATGGAAATCAAGAAACAATATCTGGTCATAAAGACACAACCGCATGAATTGCAGAAGAAGTTTTTTTGGCTAAAGCGGCAACGTATATTTGGAGCTCAATATGAACTCCTATTTTCTTGCAAGACTCGCTTGGATAAGGAACAACTGCAGAAATTGCTTTGAAGGAAGATCATTGCATTGACCCTTCCCTGAACCAGAACCAGAACCAGCATGGCGCCGCTGGATGGTTCTGTTTAACACAATAGGAAGGGAGGGGAAAAAGAGCACTTCAAGTGATGCCCTGGTTCGCATTGTGGCTGGAACGTGGATGAGCAGGTATCTTTTGGGATTTCTCTACCCAATTTCCCGGTTGATCAGCTATTCTGTGCTTGAGAAGGTTTGCTACCTGTTATTGTATTTTACTTGAAATAAAGCTCAAGATTTACCTTACTCACCTCATGGTTTCTGTTTATTTCTTTATGTTTTTTTTTTCTTGGTTAATGTTATGGACGAGAGTAATTTGTTTGTCATCCTTTATGTTCCTGACTGCAACTTGTTTTTTATTCATAATGTTTAGCTGTGTCACTGAGTAAACTGAACTATTTGTTTAGGAATTGCTCGAATCCAAAAATCAAAGAAGCAGCAGTATTTCATGACCAAAGTCCCCAATTTTTTGATTATAGCATACGTCTCAATCACACATGGGCTTTCTCAGGATTTCCTGATGTTAAATCCATCATGGACGCAAATGGTCCCTAACTTAATGACTTGGAACCGGGCGTAAATACAATACCAACAATGCAATACAGCTTCAGCGGTTTCTTAACTGTATGGTTGTTTCGTACCTTCGCCATTTATTAATTTTTGATATCTTACTTTTATTTGTTACTTTAGTTGATGTATGGAGCTTTGTCATAATTATATTTATATTTTCTAAAAAGCTTTTTGTTGAAACCACAAGTTTAAGCACCTTTCAAAGCTTCAGACCACCAAAACACACTAGAATGGCAACTAGGCCTGTACCAAAATGTACGAACTTGCAGACCTTGATGCCTAAATATTCAAAAATAATTATCTTTATCGAGGATGGAGATCAACCGACAAGGAAAAACACTATCCTTAGCTGGAACGGAGTTGTCCTAGTTTTCTTTAAACCCAAAGAAACAGCACCAAACACAAAGAAGCTATACAAATTCTTCAAGATCAGCAAGCAAAACCAATGTGATTCCCAAAACAAAAACCAAAACGTTTGAAACAAAGCTATCTCTCTACTACGGTCTAAGAACCGGAGGAAACGTCACCGTCTCACCGATCTCGATGGTTTCCATATCTAATCTCCAAGACATCTTCTGTGGTCTAATGAGTTGGGAGCAACATGATTGATGCATGTGTGGGTCTAAATTGACGGTAGGTCTTCAATTGGTGATTTTTAAAAAATTCGAGTCTTTAATTTACTGAAAAATTGTTAAAGGGCTAAATGGACAATATGCAACTCGTTTAGGGGGTAATGCGAAAAATCCAAGTTATAATGAAAGAGTTGTGATTTAAAGAAGTTCAATGGCAATTTCAACATTTTAGAAAAATTTGGTTTAATTTCCAACCAAAAACGAAAATTTTGGTTTAAACGTCACTCCCAGACGTCACACTCCTAGACGTCACACTCCTAGCGCCCCGGTCCCCACCTTTCTATCTCTCTAGCTCTGATTTTCCCTCAACGCTGCAGTAGCCGTCGATTTCTCGCCGGCGTTTCTCTCCCGTCCGGTCACCAATGGCCGCCGTTTTTGTCCCAAAATGTTCCCCTGCTTTTCCTCTACCTATTCCATCAAAACTAAGCCAATCCTACCGCAGTGGAATACGGTTTCTCGTTCGAAAGAAATCCCAAAAATAACCGCCGATTTCGAGCTATTTTCGGTGGCGGTTGCCGTCGCCACCTATCTGGTTTTGATCCCCGCCCTCGAAGGAAGCTAATCTACCAAAGAGCCCCCTCATTGGTCCACTGGTGACGGAGAATCGAAGCTGGAGATTTTTCACAGCCACCGAAGCTTTACAGGCGAGATTTCGGAAAATCCGGCCACCGTCAACCGTCGACCCAGGTATAAAGTTTGATCCTCTCGTCGTACTTGACATTTTGACAGAGGTGGCGACCGGCGATTTTGAGTTTCGCCGGCGCCGGATTTTGAGTTTGATCCTCTCAAGGGTAAAGGTAATTAGGATTGTTATGATAGCATGTGACTTTAACGAAAAGTTGGGATCAAGCTCTGGTGCTACTGCTGTGGCTGTTGTTGTCGACTTGTAGTTGTTGTCGTTGTCTTTGTTCTTGTAGCAACTTGCTTCGTTGTTGTTGTAGTTGTTTGTTTGTGCCTTCATTTTAATTGTAAAAGTAAACAATGAAAACTTATTGTCTTCCTTTTGGATTTTAGTTTTTAAGTGGCAGTTTCTCGTTAGGTGTTATTCATAATTGTTTCAAATTAAAATAATTTTCTTATTTATTGATTTTTTCTTCACTTCTGTGAAGAAAAAGTTGTTGAAACCAATCTGAAACTTCTTTATGATTTTCTTGCAGATATTACTCCCCACAGTAGTAATGTTGTTGTTAATAGCTATAAGGATGCGTGTCGATACACAGATTCACCCATCGCAGCCGTAAGTGGCGACAAAGTCTGGCTAATTTTTGTGTTTCATTTATGTTTGTAATATAGTGTGCGTGTGTGCATGGCAGGGCGTGTGTGTGTGGTTTTTACTTGATTTGGTACTACATATTTTAAGGATGTTTCGCTTTGGGCAATATTCTCCCAATACTAAATAAATTTGAAGGAAATAAGGAAACAAATGAAATTAAAACCCTACATGGATTTGGGCAAGGTTTTTGTGTGGAATTTCTCATTTTGTGAGAAGTATTGGTGCTAAGTTTAATGAGACTTGACCAGGTATATCCGGAAAGGGATGTTTGTGGAAGTGGGCAAAGGAATATCACCTAACTTTAAACAAGTTTTGGAATTACTGTTGAATAAGGAGGAGTTTCTGGCTTTTGCACCAGACACCGAAGAAACAAGGTCAATGATTAACATAATATCGGTTAAATTTCCCCTCTTGAAGGT